CCAGGACCCCGGATCATAACCTGAGCCGAAGGCAGATGCCTAACCAACTGAGCCACCCAGGCACCCAAGAAGAAATTAAAATTAAATATTTTAAAGATTTATATTTATTTCTTAATGTAATCTCTACATGGAAACTGGGGCTCGAACTCACAACCCCAAGATCAAGAGTCGCATGCTCCAGCAACTGAGCCAACCAGGCGCCCCTTTTCTTTTTTTTTTAAAGATTAAAAAAAAATTTTTTTTGAGTAATTTTAGAAGTAGAAATTTTAAAGTGTAAAATTCAGTGGATTTTAGTATATTCACAAAGTTGTACAACCATCACCCCTGTCTAATTGCACAACATTTTCATTGCCCCAAGAAGAAATTTCACACCCATTAGCCACCACTTCCCATGTTTCCCTCCTCCAGTTCCTGGCAACCACGAATCCACTTCTGTCTCAGTGGATCTGCCTATTCTGGGCATTTCATATAAGTGCAGTCATACAGTATGCGGCCTTTTGTGTCTGGCTTCTTTCACTGAGCAATGTTTACAAGGTTCTTCCATGTGGGAGCAGCATGAATTGCTATGACCAAATATGATTACATTGGAGATTAGTACACACACATTGTGTTTATCCACCAGTTGATGGACAATTGGGTTGCTTGCACTATTTGGCTCTTCTGAATCACACCGCTATGAATGCTTGTGTCCAAATTTCTGTGCCTACGGCTGTTCTCAGTTCTCTGGGGTATATTCCTAAAAGCGGAATTTGCTGGGTCATGTGGTGACTCTATGCTATCTATGTGAGGAACTGCCAGCCTGTTTTCCAAAGCGGCTGCACCATTTTATTTACATTCTTCATGCAAAAGTTTATAATAACTATTTATTAGAAGAAATAAGTTCTTACACAGTGAACTGGATACCATTATTTCCAGCACTTAACGGACTAGAAGAGTGAGGCTCAGGAGTGTGTATGCCTTGGGCAAAATCGCACAGCTCATCAGCTGCAGATTCAGGATCAGGACCCAGCCTGTGTGACTCCGGAGCGGATACTGCTGCTGGCCCGGCTGCGAAGCAGGCTGCAGCCAGCAGGAGAGCCCATGTGATTGGGGGTGGTGTCAGGGAGACAGAGTCGAGAAAAGGGTTACCACTGGGGTAGGGAGGGGGGGCTGAGAAATCCTATCAAGTCTGATACAGAAATGTATCTTTGGTCTCTTCCCTTTTTTTTTTTCCATCTGAACTATTACAGTGGCTTTAAGGTTTTTAAACTGTCATAAGTTCTCTCTCCTTTCCAATATATCCTCCATTCATTAAGCACACTCGACCACATCTATCACCACCCTTAAAAGGAAAAGAAAAGAAAGAGAAGAAAAGGAAAAAGAAAGTAAAGGAAACGAAGAGAAAAGAAAAGAAAAAGAAAACAAGAAAACACAATCAAAACGCAATCCAGGAGCTCCTGTGGGCCATCTCACAACACGGGAAGTCCTTGGCCTTGCAGAGTTCCCCCAGCTTATTTTTTCAGCTTCATGTCCCACCACTCCCTTTGATTTATTCAACAAGTGTTCCCTGGGGCTCGTTACATGCCAGGTGCCGGGATAGGAGGCAGGCCTACACCTACCACGTGGCTGTGGGCCCCCAGGAGATTTATAGCTCACGGGGAGGAGGCAGACAGCTCAACCAACGAGTCAAGGTCACTGAGAGGCCTTCAGTGGAGGTGAGACTAGTGTTTTGGGGAATACATGTGCAGGGACCCAAGCCCAGCTTAGGGGACCAGACAGCTTCCAGGAAAAGGTAAAACTTGAGGTGAGTTGTGAAGGAGGGGTATATTAGAAATGAAGAGGGGAATCTGTCATGCCCACAAGAAGGAAGAGCAGGTGCAAAGGCAAGGAGGTATGAAACCAGCTGGCTTCACACTTCATTCCACAGGTGCTTGCTGAGGGCCTCTTAGGGGCCAGGGGCTGTTCTAGGTGCTGGGGATACAGAAGGGAACACAGCAGACCAGGCCCTTGCCCTCATGGAGCTGACCGTCCACGAGGGGAAAATGTGGAAATGTGTTGGGGATGAAGAAGGGCAAGCATTAAAGCCATGGGGGCCCATGAACCTCTAGATCCCAGGGAGGGGACCCACAAAACCCTGAAATTTGAATGTGAAGATGTGTGTATGTGTGCTCATGTTCACACATACATTTTCACAGGGAGTGGACTCATAACGTTGTATATTGTATTCTCAAAGGGATCCATGACTGTTTTGGGTTAGAACCCTTATTCTAGGGCACCTTGTGTTAAGCTAAGGAGTTTGACCTTGGTCTGGAACTTCTGGGAGCCGGTAATGAATTTTAAGAGGTGAAACCATCAGAGCCTGCCAGAGAGAACTCCTTGTGCCTTTTTCATTGCTAAGCCTTTGCTCTTGCTCTTCCTCCTGGCCTGAAGGCCCGGAAAGGACCATACTTAAAAGCCAGAAGATCTGACTTTGCATCCTGCCTCCACCCACCACGTTCCAGCCCCCAGCCACTAGCCTTCTCCTGCTGTGAAAAACTGTGAGGTTGAGGTGAGCCCATCGTGTTTTGAGGATTTAATAGTTTTTGTTTGGCAAGTGCCCAGCATTTGGTAGCCACTCAGCAAATGTGAGTTCCTCTCTGGGCTTGGTGGCTTAACTGTTGAGGGATCCCCTCTTGTCTGAGGTCTTCCTGGGCAGTTGCTCACATTGCCACAGAGCTTTGTGGGTATCACCACTCACTCTTAACACGCTGTGTTAAGCTCACATCTGTATTGACTGGCCTTTGCCTCATCTCATGAACCCACACCTCCCCTCTATTTTACCAAGAGCAATATGAGGCTCAGGGAGGAGTCAGGAAGTGTCTGGAAGCATCCTATCACCAGGTCTGTGGAAATAATAATACTAAAAATAGCCATAGCAGTAACAACAATGAACCCTTGCTGTGTTACTGAGCACCGTGCTCAGCATTTGCCCTGCAGCACCACAAGCCCCAGTTCCATCCTTCACCTCCCGCCTCCTTAATTAGGTACTGTTACCTGAACTTACAGAGAAGGAAACCGAGGCTCAGCGAGGTTAAGCAGCTTGCCCAGGGTAACCCAGGCCAGTCACTTCCAAAGTCCAGATGCAGCCCTCCAGCTGACTAACCCGTGGAAACCCGTGTCATTCTGCTTCTCGGAAAACACTACTCCCAACTGCACAGTTCAAAACCCCACCCAAGCCCGCCCTTGCATCGCGGCCAGTCTGCTCTAGCAGAGTCGTTCTCTGTTTTGACCAAGGATACAGAGGGCGCTGCCCAACTCATCAGGGGGGCCCGAGGGAGAAGGTGAGGGTGAGGGTGTGAGGGTGAGGGTGGAAATATTAGGTGCTGGGGCGTGTGCCGGGGGAGAGTGTCTGGGGACCCGAATGCGAGTCACGTGCGCGTGAAACTCGACCTAGGGGGAGGGGAAGAAAAGGGAGCCCCCGCCCCTACCTCAGGGCGCAGCCCGGGACGAGTGTAAATACAACGCTTAACTCAGTGGATCCACTTGGTCTATGCCCCACCTCAAGGATCCCGGGTGCCCGGCGGGTTCCCAGCCCCCCGACTTCACCCGAGGGGACTGAGGAGGCAAGGACACCGGACTGCGGCGCTGAATCTCCGAGGCGGCCCGGCCCCGGCGCGCAGAGAAGTCCGAGCGCCGGTGCGGTTCGGAGCTGGGCCCGCGGGACAGTGGACGCCGAGTGTGGACGCGCCCTAAAGGCGCTGCGCTCCCCGAGGCGTCGCGTCCGCGGCTGCAGGAGGCGCGTTTGCCCCCAGACCAGAGGTGAGCAGTGGGTGTGGGTGGCGGGTCCCCAACTGCGGGTCCGCTGAGAGCCCCCCCGGGCCGGCTCCCACCGACACTCGCAGGCTCCCCAAGAAAAACCCGCTCCCCGAGCCCGTGGGTCCCGCGGCGCACTGTCGCGTCTCTCCAAGTGTGCCCCTCCCTCCCCTTCCCGCCGGCCCCTCGGACTCCCCTCTTCCTCTCGGCCTGCTCGGCTTCACTTCCTCAGTTTGGAGCAACAGTCCTGTCGGAGTTTGAACGGACCCGCGGGCGCGCGGGAACCCAGAGCCCCATTTCACAGATGAGGGTACTGAGGCCCGGGGAGCCGCATCTGGTGTCCTCCGCCCCTCCCCCTTGCCCTTCCCCGTCCCTCTCTTCTCGGCGGTGTCCGTCTCCCCCCTGCCGCTCCCCGCCTCCGCGCCGCCCGTGTCCCGTCTCCTCCCACGGTGGTGGCGGCGGCCGCGGCGGGGGGAGCTGGGGCTCCTTCCCTCCCTCTGGTAAACACACCCGCCCGCCGCCGGCCGCTGGCCCATCCGCCACCCCTGCCCTTATACAGTCAGCGGCCGCGAAACTTCCTGGCGGAGCGCGAGCCCCCTTCCCCGGCCCGAGAGCGCGGGCTGGCGCGGATGCGTGCCGCGTGGTGGCCCGCGCCCCGCCGAGTGAGTGAGGGGCGCCCCGACCCGCCCTAGGTCCCCATCCACGTGGCAGCTGTTGTCCAAGACCGAGAGACTGCAGGGACACGGGTCGCCCGGTGCGGAAAGGGGGAAGGTGGAGGGGGGGCGGGGGCCCGGCCCCGGAGCAGAGGAGTGGTCTTACCCGGGCAGCAGGAAGGGGGGGTGTCTTAGGCGAGCCCCAGACTTCCCCTTCCTCCTCCTGCTTGCTTCTGGGGGTCCTTCCTGGAGCGGGCGGCCGGATACTGGCCAGAGGTGGCTTCAGAGCGCGCTGTGCCCCTTGCTGACCTTTGGGGACTTGGGGAAGTGCGGGTTTGGGCCCGGGCAGCGGGGCTCCGCGCGTTCTGGCCCGGGTGGAAGAGGCCGGCAGCGCGCCAGGAATCTGTTGCGCTCACACAGGACCTTCCTTGTTTCCGATAGTGGCCCGGCGGGAGCCCGGCGCCGCGTGAACCCCTGGCACTGCTGGTGCGCCCAGAGCCAGGTTGGCGGCACCCGCCGGGAAGCCCAGGACCCTGGGGCCTTCCCGGGCTGGTTCGAGGGGTCTCGGGAGCCACCATGATGCGAGACCCTTCCCGGGGGCCGCTGCGGGGGCGGGGAGGGGGTCCCCTCGCTCAGCGCGGTGTTCCTGTGCAGGCTCGCGGCCGGCATGGCCCCCACGCTGCAGCAGGCGTACCGGAGGCGCTGGTGGATGGCCTGCACGGCGGTGCTGGAGAACCTCTTCTTCTCGGCTGTGCTCCTGGGCTGGGGCTCCCTGCTGATCATGCTCAAGCAGGAGGGCTTCTATTCCATCGTGTGCTCAGGTATGCCCGAGGAAGGGCAAGTCCGGCTGGGGGAGGGGCAGCAGAAGGGCCAGGTGGACGTTGGAAAAGAACAGGTGGCCGAGGGGACAGAAAGCAGGGCTGCCTAAGACGGAGCACTGGGCAGGAGTTGGACAGCCCCACTTCTTGACCTCTTTACACTTCCCCTAGAGAGTGGGTGGTGTTCTGCTCACTCTACCTCGTTGATCTAATCCAGTCTTCAGGGAATGCCAGGTATCCTGCTGGGTATTCAGACACCAGGACTGACCGGCAGAGCCCTAAGTCTTTGGCAGCCTCAGGTCTAGCTAGAGCAAGATGAAAACCCCTAGAAGGAGAGCTGCTGCACCTAGCTGGGTGAGGGATTTTTTTTTTTTTTTTTAAACCAGGGCTCCTGTAGGACTAAACAAGACAAAGGAGCCCCTACAGAGTGCACTTGAACTTAATAGGTCTGTGCCCATCCTCTTCTAAGACTTTGAGCCCCCAGGTGTTCAAATCACCCATCTGCACAAGGTTAATGAGCCTGCATTGTGGAGGGACCCTGTTTTCCATTTCAATTCCTTTGGCTTCTGAGTGGCCCCTAATGAGGAAGTAGGAATTGTAAGGCTCCTGAGTGGAGGGGAGGAGTCCAGGTCCCCTCTGAGTTGTTTATGCTGAAGACTGGAGAGGACCTGCTCTTTGTCACCTCCTGTTCTTGATGCTTGCCACTGCCCATCCTGTAGCTCCTTCTTGCCTTACTCCACCTGTTTGGTTTGTTTTTTGTAATCAGCTTTATCGAAGATTAATCTACATCACACATTTTGATGAGACTTGACAAATGTGTGCCTCAGGAATCATCATCCACCACAATCAATATTTAGAATATTTCCATCACCCCCAAACTCCTGCTTCCCTTTTGCTGCCCATCCCTCCACCTGTGCTTTTTTAAAAACACGTGTGAAAACTTTATTAAGATCTAAGTTGTATACCCTACAATTCACCCATTTAAAATATACAATTTTTAAAAAAATTTTTTATTATTTTTTAAAGATTTTATTTATTTATTTGAGAGAGAGAGAGAGAACACGAGAGGGGGGAGGGTCAGAGGGAGAAGCAGACTCCCCGCTGAGCAGGGAGCCCGATGCGGGACTCGATCCCGGGACTCCAGGATCATGGCCTGAGCCGAAGGCAGTCGCTTAACCAACTGAGCCACCCAGGCGCCCTACAGCTCTTACATTTAGATCGTGGGTCCATGTGGGGGTATTTTCATCTGGTGTGAGGTGTCCATCTGGTGTTTTGATCTGTCCGGAAGTGAGTATGCGTCTGAGCCCAGTTGTCTGGGATCACTAGAGGTGACCCAAGCGAACCCTCCTTCTTTCTCAGAACTTACTTGTCCACTCTTGGAAAGCAAGGCAGAGCATGTCTCTCTTCCCCCGGCTCTCCTTCCCTCAAGTGACTTAGCCTAAATCCTTGAGCCATCAGGCTGATTGGGGGTGCTGTAACCTCAGTCATGCTGCCCTATCAAAAGTGGTTGTTTTCTGTTTCTTTTAAACATTTTTTTAAAGATTTTATTTATTTGTCTGACAGAGAGAGATAGTGAGAGAGGGAACACAAGCAGGGGGAGTGGGAGAGGGAGAAGCAGGCTTCCCGCGGAGTAGGGAGCCTGATGCTGGGCTCGATCCCAGGACCCTGGGATCATGACCTGAGCCGAAGGCAGATGCTTAATGACTGAGCCACCCAGGCGTCCTGCTTTTAAACATTTTTTAAAAAGATTTTCTTTATTTGAGAGAGCAGTGAGCACGAGAGCGAGAGAGCACGAGTTGGGGGAGGGGCAGAACGAGAAGAGAAGCAGACTCTCCAGCTGAACAGGGAGCCCCGATCCCAGGACCCCAGGACCCCAGGATCAGGACCTGAGCTGAAGGCAGACGCCCAACTGACTGAGCCACCCAGGCGCCCCTATTTTCTGCTTCCTGAAGCCACATTCACAAGGACACCGAATCAGACCAGGACTGTGTGTCCCCACAGTGTGTGGAAAGAGCCAGGCAGAATGGCTTCCAACTCTGTGTCTCTTGGCTTATTTTAGGTGTTTACTTAGCTTTCTGAATATCTCAGTTTTCCCTTATGTAAAATGGGACCAATCATCCCTACCCCGTGGGACTGCTGTGAAAATGAAGTGAGAACAAGCATGTGGACTACAGGTGGAGGTCATTATTATGTGCTGGACCCAGTTTTGCTGTCATTTGCCGTGTGACCTTAGACAAGTCACCCATCCTCTCTGGATCTCCACTTCAAAGTCTGCAAAACAGAGTGGTTGTCCCTCATCCTTCTTGCCACAGAGTAATGATGTGAACACCAAATGATGGCAATTTAAAAATGTGGAGTTCATGATTGAGGTGTTCACTAGTGTCGGCCTTGGGCGTCCCTGGCCGCACCCTCTGTCTTCTCAGTGTTTTCTTTTCTTTTTTTTTTTAAGATTTTATTTATTTGAGAGAGAGAGAAAGCACACGAGAGGGGGGAGGGTCAGAGGGAGAAGCAGACTCCCTGCGGAGCAGGGAGCCTGACGCGGGACTCGATCCAGCGACTCCAGGATCATGACCTGAGCTGAAGGCAGTCGCCCAACCAACTGAGCCACCCAGGCACCCTTTCTCAGTGTTTTCTGTTCCCCCTCGAGTTGTGCCCTGGGGTGGGCGGTCGAACCACCTCTAGGGGTGTCAATATTTGAAGAGGGCTCTGTTACTCAGAATTCAGGCAGGGGCAACTCAATTTAACACATACTATCGTATATCCAGCAAAAGTTCCAAAACAATAAAACAACACCTAAAGTTCATCAAACCTTTACTGTTTGCTATTTAGATCTTCAGTCCTCACAGCAGATCTTTGATCTAGGTATTATTATTAACATATTTTGTAGAAGAGAAAGCTGAAGCTTAGAGAGGCTAAGTAACTTGCCTGAGGTGACACAGCTAATAAGGGGCAGAGTGAGGATTCAACCCCAGATCTGACTCCACGACCTGTCTCCTGGTCCTCACGGGAATAGTGTAGACGTCTCCAACCTCCTTTAGCTTGGAGTTCTCCTGGGGCAGTCCTGCCATAGACGAGAAAATGAGCTAGAGCTTAATCCTACAGGTGTTTGGTGAATGTGACTGTCAACTGCAGAAAAGTGAAGCATCAGGGCTTGAGGATGATGATATCTTTTCTGTGTCATAGGTACTGTTTACTTAATGCTTCCTTTTAAATCAACCCATTTAAAAAAAATTCGCCGAATTTTAAAGTGTAATATCCTTGGACTCTTGGGTTTGATTGTACTTACCCACACACACACATCACACACATATATGTGTCTGATACATACACATAAGTATCTATATGCATCAGAAACACATACACGCACATAGATATGTGAATATATTGGAAAAACATATGCAGGTTTCTTTTTTTTAACTTTATTTTTTTAAACATTTTTTTATTTCTTTTTAAGATTTTTATTTATTTACTTGACAGAAAGAGAGTGAGCACAAGCAGGGGGAGCGGCAGGCAGAGGGAGAAGCAGGCTCCCCGCCGAGCAAGGAGCCCGATGCGGGGCTCGATCCCAGGACCCTGGGATCATGACCTGAACCGAAGGCAGATGCTTAATGACTGAGCCACCAGGCGCCCCATATGCATGTTTCTTTCTTTCTTTTTTTTTAATGTTTCAGTTTATTTATTTATTTTTTAAGATTTTATTTATTTACTTGACAGAGAGAGAGAGATCACAAGTAGGCAGACAGGCAGGCAGAGGGAGAGGGAGGAGCAGGCTCCCCACTGAGCAGGGAGCCCAACATGGGGCCTGATCCCAGGACCCTGGGATCATGACCTGAGCCGATGGCAGACGCTTAATGGACTGAGCCACCCAGGCGCCCCCATATGCATGTTTCTAATGTACATATACATGCATACATTTTTCCAATATATTTACATATGTATGTGTGTATATATGTGTGTTTCTGATATACATTGAAATGACTAATAACTATGAAACATCAAAATCCATTCCCTGTACCCTCTAACCCATCTTGAGTATCCCACATGCTGTGCATACAGTTTGGGAAACACATTCTTTTCTAAGGCTTCAGCTCTACCACTAACTCAATACATTTTCCCTGTCCCACCCCATGCCTCACTTTACTTGCCTATACAAGTGGGGCCGTTGGATTTCGACGACCTCTTCTGTTGTAATTGGCACGGATAGAGTTCTAAGGAGCCTTTGCAACTTGGGCTGGCTTTATCCAAGAAGTCTGGCTTTAGCCAACTACCAGAGTGATCAGGCCTCAGGAGCTAGCTCATGTTAGCCAGGCTCACAAGAGGTTGATGATAAACCAGACAGACTGGTGCACTAACTGACCTTGATTACTAGCCGTCCACAGGCCTGGCATGCTCCACGGGTGGAGGAACACATCTCGCCAGCACCAACACAAGCTTGGGAAGCGCCCTGAGCTGCTGCGTTCAGGACTGAGGGGTCCTGTGGGGGACAGAAGAGTGCTGGCCTTGGGAGACTGTCTTGAGTCCGAATGGAAGCCTGCCTGTAGGAAGAGGTGTGGCTGGGAGTTGCCAGCTTCTCAGAGCCTCATCGTCTGTAAAATGGGGATCATCGGGCTCACTTTGCAGGGAGGTTGTGAGGATCGGATGAGATACTGTATAAAAAAGCCTGGCACAAAGTAGGTGTTAATTAATCCAGAGCCAGTGGGACGGTGTAAGGGAAGGTGCCATCTGATGGTGAAAGACTGAGGAGCGGGGCCAGGGTCTAATTCAGGGGCTGCACGCTCATATGCCAACAGGGGTCAGGCAGGTCATAATAACTAATTAATAATCAGAATTTAATAATCATAATAAAGTAGGGCAGGTGTAAGATGGCAAATGTCCGGGAGCTACAGCAGAGCTGAGGACTTGGGTGGCCTAGAGAGGGCAAGCTGTGGTGGGAAGGGGTGACCTCCACTCAGCGCCAGCAATAGCCAGATCTTCTGGCTTCTTTCTCTCTCTCTCTTTTTAAACATTTTATTTACTTATTTGAGAGAGAGAGAGAGAGAGAGCATGAGCAGGGGAAGATGGAGAAGCAGGCTCCCCGCTGAGCAGGGAACCCGAGGCGGGGCTCAATCCCAGGACCCTGGGATCATGGCCTGAGCCTAAGGCAGACACTTAACTGACTGAGCCACCCAGGTGCCCCGATCTTCTGGCTTCTTAAAGAGAAGCCAAATTGTTTGGGGATACGTCCCAATTTTAAACTGCACCCAGTTACAATTTGCATGCCAAGCAAAACGTGTGTAGGCCACTGCTGGTCGCCTGTTTGCTGCCTCTGGCCTAAATGATCTTTGCATCTTTCCATTTCTTTCCACTTCACCCACTGCCCCAGCTCGGTGCCTGGCATACAGTAGATGTTCCGGAAGTGCACGGAGACTGAATAAAGCGAAGCAGATGAACCTGGTGGAGAAATGAAGAGTGATCGTGACCACCACGAAATTATGGGGCTAGCCTGAATCCTAAAGGCCGTGGTCTGAGCGCCCCCACTGCTTCTCCCACGGGCCTGAGCACTCTCCCCCAGTGTCCCGGGCAGCTGGTACTGTGGCTGGTTCCCCGTGGCCTGAGGTGCCTCCTCCCCTGGTTGGCCAGCACTCATGATCTGAAACTTCTTCCTCATATTCTTCCTTATGTTAACACAAAGGTCACTTCACCCCTCTGCTGCCTGCAAGCCCTTCGGATATCTGAAGTCAGGAGTCATTGTGCCCACCCAGGGCAGGTGCTTTCCCTCCCAGCATTCAGGCATCCTCACGTCCTGTGTTGTTCTCTTGACAGCACCCGTCACTCTTCACTTTCCTTCCTTCCTTCCTTCCTTCTTCCTTTCTTCTTTCTCTTTCTTTCTTTTCTTTTTTCTTTCTTTCTTTCTTTCTTTCTTTCTTTCTTTCTTTCTTTCTTTCTTTCTTTCTTT